GATTTACATGTGTCATACCTGCATACAATATAGAAATAATCATTTAATCTAACAAAACACATAGGTAAGTGGTCAAGGCTAGCTGATATACTCAGGACTGCGCACTGTGTATGCGACATTCAAGATATTACCATATGATGATACCAATTTAATCTTTTCATGTAGCACGAGGCGCACATTTGTTGTAACGATCGTACACTGTCATACCTTGATTGTATTCCACAGGGATCCATCTATTTATTCGCGTAGAAGCCTCACGTAGACTGAACTGTCCTGGTCCTCGCTTTCACTGGTTGCGTATTGGTTCACTTGGTCACTTGCGTTCGCTTCACTTGGTTGGTTCACTCGCTCTTCACTTCGGTATATGTACGAGTATATACTCAATATTATAATGGGCACTGACGGAACACCCCGCGCACCTCGCTGTCTCAAGATTATTTAATTCATATCCAAACGTACCCACATCACATCGTCTGTATGAACGCCACGTCATATGTATAGTTCTCGACTGTGCTCTTCATCTCATCCATAATAACATACCCAAATATTTCCGTCCTAATTCTCGTATGAGTCCACATTGGACCCTTCATCCAGCTAACCCGTGGTCTTGTTACTGACCAAGTTGAATAATGGCGGCAGTTCAGGACCTGGCCGTTTTCGCGGGGTCACTCTGCGGTGCGCGGCGGCTGTCGCGAAAATAGTCTGGTCGTTGACTGCCGCCGTGTGTCGTACGGCCGCTGTAGGTACTCACACGGCCAGCAAACTCCAGGCCACAATATCCAGGCATATATCAGGCATATTATCCAGCAGCAAATCCAGCTTCTCGTTAAAATATTAGTTGCGTTTGAGAGAGAAATCCGTCGTTATATATCAAACGAACATTATATCATATTACGTATTAATTATATATAATATCTATATTATATCTATATTATATTATATTATATTATCATTATTTTGTATTGTATTGTATTATATTATATTATATTATTATGTATATTGATTGTAATTATTATTTATATGTGCCACGAAGATTAGTTTTCGCGCGTGGACATTGTAATTAAGGCAAAGCCGGGCGCCTTTATTAATCGCGATCGCATAGTGGGTTAATAATTTTTCGCGAAGCGGGGTTGTTTCGCCCACTGCGACGCGCCTCCTACTGACACACCACTATCGTGACAAAGCTTTTGTTGCTATCTGTTTAGAATTATACATTAAATCACCTTTCCTTTTCCATGGTATTAGAAGAGTATTTTGATCTTCCCCTCTCTGTCTTAGTCGCTACTTCTTTCATCATCTCTCTCCCCTTTATGCCATTTCGCGCTGCGCGCTCATCCCCCTCTCCATCGCTCTCTCTTGCTTCGCTCGCTCGCCCCCTCTCTCTCTTAGTCCGCTACTTTCTCCCTTATCTTCTCTCTCCCTTTATTTTAATTCGCCGCTCTTTTTCTATCTCTCTCCCTCGCATTATCCTTCCCCACCTACTACTCCCTCTCGCCACATGAATTCTTCTTACTTAATTCTCGTTTAATCTATCAACACTTCTGTCTTCTTCTCCGCTTCTCTCTCATTCTTCATTACTTACAACGACCAGGGGCGTAAATCCCGGGGGGGATGGGGGGATGACATTCCCCCCCGCTCTTGAAGGAGGGCGGGAGATGGCCTGTACAATATCCCCCTGAGATTCAAAAAGAAAAAGAAAAAAAAGACATACCAAAAAGTTCATGCGTGGCAACACATACACAAACACACGTGATATTGCGTGAAAAATTGTCAATCTTAACTTGGGTTTAATTACATGGTATTATTACTATATAGTAAGCTAACTGTGTACGCCTCTCTGAAAATCATGAAAGTGTTTTTGAATCCTAACTTGTAGGGTTGAGTCTAGGGTTGAGATAGTGTTCATTCAGACATGGAATATGCGCCCACAGTCAGGGGCGGCGCCAGGGTATTTTCTTAGGGGGGCGAAACGAGGCGTGTACAGGAGCACGCGAAGGGGGGTCTGGGTGCCCAGGAAATTTTTGAATCTAGACCCGCCTCAGTCATGCGTTTTCTGCGCGAGCAGGGAGGGTTCCGGAACCCACCCTGCGACCCCCACTGTACACGCCCTGGGAACTGTGGACTGTTCGTGTGTGCTTGCACTGGACGGGTGGCAGTCCAGGGGTAGATTCATGACTTCTCAAGCTGCGTAGCGCAAAATATTCTTGCGTAAATCTTGTGTAACGCAATCGACGTTGCTTAGTTGCGATTCTATCAACAAAGCTCATTTAGTAAATTTTACGTATGATTTCCGCGTACGCAGCCGGACTGGCGTTTTAGGTTGGCGATTCATTCAGCTAAAATTTACGGTAACCTTCTGCGTAACTTTACACGAAGCTGACGAGGTCGCCATAAACCACTCGAAATTTCCGACAGGATGTTTCCAGCTCACCGCCAGCAGCATTATTTTATGAGAAACACATTATAAAGTTATACTCAACTAAAATTAAATAAATAATTTACCATACTAACACACGACAGGCGGCGCCTTTGACGCTTTTATTTTTTATTGGTCATAGCTTGGCATTGTTTTCGTTATAAGCGGAGTTCGTAGTTAGCCGTGTACGTGCACCGCCGTCGCGCACTTGTACCGTGGAACACGCACGCACGTGTCACGTACACACGCACTGCACGCACGCCCGTGTACGTTACGCAAGCACGCACGTGTACCGTGTACACGCACGCACGTGTACGTGCACACACACGGCACGCACGGCACGTGTACGTGCACCGCGCACAGCACGCAGCCGCACGGCACGCACGCGTCAGCGTGGCTCTTCTCAGCGAAGTGTTGAACAATCATTACAACGAAATGAGACTAACAATCACATCCCCCAGCACTCCTGTAGACAGCTAGAGCCATATGTTTTACCATACAAAGAGCGCGTCAGTTTGGTTGATTATGGTATGTGTCCGCAGAGACGTGCGATTAGGTTTAGGCTAGGCATGCTGCCTCAACAGCCAGCAGGCTCACGATGGCGTAGTGGATTTACACTGAAATTCATGCAAACACTGTTACCATGATCTACCTAGTACGCGTAGAACCCTGTTGTACGCAATACACTTTGCGCAACCGTTGATGATCCGGCCCGACGGGCCCGCCCTTAGTGCCCTGGTGGGGTTCTAGGCGGGCAGAGCCCTGGCAGGGTCGGGGAAGCTCTCAGAGTTTAGCTAATCAAGCCCCTCAAATTGCTGACAAAAAATTGTTGCAGGGACCAAGGAGGCAACATATACTCAAGGGATTGAAACCCGGGCGGGGGGAGGACTCACCCCACTTATCGGTAGTATTCGGTATGTGCACTGCGGAAGTTAAAAATGGGGGGGGGTGGCTCTGGAATTAATCAGAGCTGAAAATCGGTGGTCTCGTGGAACTAATGTTTGTTGCAATTTGGTAGCTCTGGAACGCTATGTTCGAAAATAGGGGGTCTTTGCCCGGAACTAGCTAGGATTTCGTTGAAATTCAGATGACCTGGACTGAAGGGCAACTGTGGAACATGCATTGTTTTAACATGCGAACTTGCCAATCTTGTATTATGTAGAGGCGAGAAAAACATGATCCGGAGAGAGATACGGCACGCATACGCACCGCACATACACACCCCACGCATACACACACTAACTAAAACTAGACAGAGGACACTCACGGAGAGAGCATACCTGCGCCAGCGACATACGCCATACGCCATCCGACTCACAACACACGAATAACCCCGATATACGCCAGCGTATGCTCGCTCGGCCGCTCAGTCAGCGAAGCGGCTGTGGCTGGCTCGCTCGTGACTGCGCTATATTAAATCGCGTCAGACACACACACACACACACACACACACTCACAACACAAACACACACACACACACACACACACACACACACCACACCGCACGTGTACACGAACGCACAGACCCGATCACATAAACCTCCCTCCACTCCGTGGCGGACGGGAAAATAAAAGATAGCATATGTAGGTATTATTAGAGGTCAGTCTGAACGTTGTAATTATAATTTATAAGTTGCTTAACACCCTCAAGTGTGCCTACCTTTCCGCCGGGAAACAGCATCATCAACAAATGATGGTCCCGAACTTGGGACTCCACAGGAAATAACACCTTGACATCGATTATCAAATTAATCACAGGTTTTATATGGATTGAATTCGACACTTAATTTTCGATTTTTGATGAAAGTGGTCCCGTTGTAGGCTACCTCACTCATTTTTGGGCGATCCCCCTATTATTTGCAAGAATCTTCTTCTTCTTTACCTTTTTCTTGCAAATGATGGGGGGGAGTGACCCCCCACCCACCCATCATTTGCAGAAATTTGCAAGATGTTTTCTTTTCTTTTTTTCTTCTTCTTTCCTTTTTCTTTTCTTTTTCTTTTTCTTTTTCTTTTCTTTTTTCCTTTTTCTTATTTTCTGTTCCTTTTTCTTTTTCTTCTTCTTCTTTCCTTTTCTTGCAAATGATAGGGGCGGCGACCGCCCCCCTGCCCCCCCTGTGCGCCGCCCGCGCCACAGTGGTCGCCTCAGATTGGCAGGAAAATGGCTTAAATTGATTTTCAAAATTTTCTGGGGGGCTCATGCCCCCAGACCCCCCTAGCACTGGCATGCCTACGGCACGCAGGCCTGCCTGCGGCAGCCAAGGTTAATTTCGCCCCCGGCTATCGCCGATCATCCCCCCCTCCCACTCTTCGGTACAGATTTACGCCCCTGTACACGACTCTCAGTCGGTTTCTCTCTATTTGTCTATCTTTCTTTATCTGTTTCGCGCATTCCCATCCCTTTTTTCTCCTGATCGAATAGCATTTTAGCCACTTTGCTGATAGTAGAAATAAATTAATGTACATCCTTTGGCAATATTATAATAATTGTATACAGTTGATTAGCGCTAGCCTGAATGAATTTTGTAGTTTGAGCGTAACATGTTATTCTACCACGAGGTGGCAGCGCTATAGCGGCATCATTCACATCAAGATGGCGACTAAAGCCTCCGGGAGGGTTTGCCGTCGCTTATTTCAAGGACTACCTGTACGATTTGTAGGCGAAATTAACCAACATATTTATCGGTGTGGATGCAGTATACGATGGGCTCATCAACAGGTATGTTACTTTTTACATTTCGCGATTCGATTTCATATGGTTGGTATTATAAATCACCACATTCTTCCCGCGTCCAAATACGAGATTGGCCTTCGCTGCTGTTTCGAGAGTGAAAGCGGCCTCTTTGTAAGTAAGGATTTTGGGCGTTTTATTAGTCTAGATCTGATATTATGAACGTCGTTGGTATCTTAAAGATGTGTCTTGCGGTTATACTTATGTCGGGGCTTAAAAAATTCATATTTGGGATGACAATCAACGTGGAAAAACGAACGTTCTGCCGTTGTCGTGGAGGTGTGTTACAAACGTTGGTCGCTGATTGGTTGGTCACGATGGCGGTTCACGCCATCAGCTGATGTCTCATTGATTTTATAACAGCATGAGGGAAGAGCACGGAATAGACGATATATATGATATCTGTTTGCTGTGTGACACAAAAATTTATTTGTGACAAACACTGGGTCATAAATATGAAATTACACTAAGGCGAAGATGGAAGAATATTTCATTATTGATTCTAGGCTATGCATCATGATTCTTACACATGCCAGTATACTTGCCACTTGGTATCACTATTAATATTATCTTACTGTTGCTATGCTGTGTATAATAATTTGTTGGTCTTGACAGAGAGTAAAAGTTAAAAATTGTTTTTGTTTCCAAATATAGCGTACTCCGTTTTTCTTAGGCACGGGTGTGTGAACAATATTATTGAAATCTGATATTTGTAATTAGTGACCTTTTTGCATCATGAGGCTGCAAGAAATAATGTGAGAGGTTGTATTTTGCTATCATTTTCTCACTTTCTATGCAGTGCTTCTGCAATAGGGTGCCTCACCCTTGTATTTTAATAAACAAACATCAATTGGTATATCTAATGGCCCAGATATATGTCGAGTTTCTACTTTAAAATGCTGTTTAATGGATCTACGTTTGTTGGCCGGTTTGATCGGCTTACTACTGTGAAGTCATAGATGGCAGATTAATTTAAGTACTTGTCCATAGCGAGGTCTTCGACGTAACTGCGATCGAAATCATCGTCAGTCGTTCTATAACCGAGAAATTTAAATGTGGCTAACGAGCGCATTAATTAAGCGTGTGTGCGGGTTTTCGAGTCGCTCCGCGACCCATGTGCGCGGATGTCTCACCCGCGCTTACGACCCCTCTCCGACTTCTCCCTTCTGCAGAAGGGCGCGACCTTCGGCATCCTGTTTGACATCGACGGCGTCATCGTCAGAGGGCGCACGTTGCTGCCGACCGCGCTCGAGGCCTTCCAGAAGCTGACCGATGGCAGGGGGCGCTTTCGCGTGCCGACGGTGTTCGTGACGAACGCCGGGAACACGCTGCGGCAAGAGAAGGCCGAACAGCTGAGCAACTGGCTCGGATTGGAGGTAACACACATGAAACGGTCAGCCAGACGCCGGAGACGACAAATGTAGATAAGGCTGCCTGGTGGTCTGTAACAATTGACCAGGGTGGGGAGGGTGGGGGCATTAGAGAATATTCATGAGTTGGTGTGGTTAGATGGGATTGGGGGGATGGGGCGTGCTATTACAGTCAGACATGTGTTAGCTAACACTTCCGTAGAAGGGATGCCTATGGACCTGCGTATAGAGCCCACTTGGTGTTTCACTTTTGTGTCAGTTATGCAGTGAAGCCACTGCTATAGAATGGATATTTGTAGATAAAGGACACGTTTGCAGATTCCTTAGAGTGAGCCTTAAATACTAAAGCCTTAATGGCTGAACTGGCGGGGAGATAGGCGATCGATCAGCAATCAGAGAACATGCTCTTGGCTGGCTGGGATTAGACATCGTCGTGGGGGACAGATTGTCCAGAACATGTGACCAGGGGCCTGAAAAAGAAAACGAGTTTTGAGCGACACGCTCGCCTAGTCTGTATTCAGTGATCAATATCATGTACAGTAGCGGCAACCTCCGCATCGTTCTCAAGGTCAGAATCTGTGTGACCCACTGCTTTTTTTCACGGCACAGTGTATCGCATTCAGCTTGTGTTGCACGCGCGCGTGGCTGGGTGACGTATGTACGCGCACGCATTCATGCCCCCGTTTGCACGATCGCTCATAACCGAGATTGCTACCGGGCCTTCGCCACTGCAGCCTCTTGCTCGATCCAGGTCTGTTTGCAAGTCCACCGTAAGTTCTGCGTGGGTTGCTGGCTAGCGTTCACTCGCAGAATTGCATCTTATGCACTCCTAGTATTGTACCTCCATGTCACGGTGACACATGCGATTCCCTCTCGTGTGACGTATGCAATTTTCTAAGGGCGGTACGTTGTACCTTGGTCCGAGCGTGTTTGTACAAAGATCTCAAACACCAAGTGACGCACTCATTGGTCCCTTGGACTTACATACAATCAGGAGTGAATCATAGAGATTAAATAGAGAATAAAACTAAAAGAGTCTCTATTATTTACTCCTGATACAATGTATCCCCCTTCCACGCCGCTACCCCCAAGATGTACTGCTGTGCCTAACTTTAGGAAAAAATTACACTGCATATTTTCTGTTTGCTGTCGCAGTGTACTGCTGTGCCCAACTCTCAAAAAATACCATGAATACCTTTTTTCCATCATGATTTATTGGTGCACCCAACCCATTAAAGATACCCTGCATATTATCTGTTTATCATCGCATTGTACTGGTGTGGTGCCCCCAAAATTCCCCCAAAATTCTTGTCATACCTTTTGTTCATCATGATTTATTGGTGCCACCAGTTTGCAGAAAATATACGCCGTATATTCTATGCTTATCATCGCAATTTACGCAGGTGCTCAACTCTCATAAGTAGCCTGCTTATCTTTTGTTTGTCGTCGCAATTCATCAATGCCTCAAACCTTTGAAAAATACCCTGCACATTTTCTGTTTACCAGTCTCAGTGTACCCGTGCATCCAACTCGTTATGTAGAAACTTTCGAATAGTAATCAAATTAAGTAAAAGAAATCGACAGCGTGTTTCTCCCGTTCGTCCGTCACGACGTTACCGCGGTTACTCGCGCGCCGCGTTTCCTTCTCGTGACGTTCTCACGCTCGTTGTATTTCCAGGTGGCGCCCGACCAGGTCATCATGTCGCATAGTCCTCTGAAGATGTTCAAACAGTTCCACGACAAGCACTGCTTGATATCGGGGCAAGGGCCCATCTTGAAAATAGCAAAGGGGTAAGTGAGCTACTGCTGGTGCGATGCAGAGGCGGCGGCGTGCACCATTTTGGATACCGTGGGTCGGAAGCGGGTCTCGCTCTTACTGGTTATTCGTTCTAGTATCCCTTTCAATGCGTGTTCTATCCCTTCTATGAACTATTGCCGTGTCTTCGCACCTGTCTGATGTTATCTGCATCTTTGCTCATCCCATCATCTGAAGTCTCTCCTTTTTATCTGATCCTTTTTATCTGATCGTTTAATCGTTAGTATGTTCTAGTCCCTCTCTTCGTACCTTCCCCGATTCTAGCTGGTAATTCTTGCCGTCTTCTCTTCCAGCTTCTCTTACCCTCCTCTTTGTTCCGGCCGCCCTATCCTGTTTCCCCCCAATTCCCATTCTGTACTTTTTCCCCGTGTGTTTCTCCCTTCTCTTACCGAATCTACCCTATTGGGTTTCATCGTATTTGACGAGTGTGGTGCATATATATGCGTAAGGGGGGGGGGCAAGCATTTAGTGAATGAGCACTCAGTCATCATTACTCCGTGTTTATGTATTACTTTCGCTACAACGTATGCACGAAATGTGTGCCACTACGCATGCGAGGCACGCACGCAGCAGCTATGGGGCATGTGCGCGTGTATCTTGCGCGTATCCGAACTGTGTAACACAACCTTACGCAAACCAGAGCAGAATCGGAGCGCGATGCGCAATGCGACGTGTCCTCCAGACCCGCTGCGTCACGCTGTCGTTAAAACTGCATCTCGCTGGCCCATAAAAAATGTCGCCGTCGATTTGCGCGGCCTTCGATCGACCTTCAGCGGTGGTAGCGGAGAGAAAATGACTTGCTCTCGGCACGTCGGTAGTGTGTGTGTGTGTGTGCGTGCGTGCGTGCGTGCGTGCGTGCGTGCGTGCGTGTTTGTATGGACCCGTGTGCTCGCCCTGTTTGGCCGGCCTAAAAATAGGTGCCTGCATCCAGCAACGCCGAGTCCTGCATCCAGTATTCCTGCCTACTACACTAAAAAGCGAGTTCTAATTTTAGCATACCACTCTCACCGGATGCGCGCACAATAGTGCACGGGAAGGTGAGAGTGCGTGCGAGTGGAGCTGTCAGCATGGGTCGGTGTAGGTGCGGCTGTGGGCGTGGGTCTGGCTGCAGATGTTGCTATGTGCGCAGGGGGGAGCGCCTTTTGTGATCAGTGATGGTAATGATGAGGAGGCATGCATATGATCAACAGCATATAAAGAAAGCCCTTCTTTATATGCTCTTGATATGATAGAGATATCTATTATTTACTCCTGATATTATTATCACTGCGTATACATCAAGAGTAGATAATAGGAGAATTATTATCTACTCTTGGTATACATCGCAATGCAGTTGCGTCATCATCGCCATTTTCTAACACTTAGCATTTCCGTACATATTGAATATTCGATTACCGTGTGCGGTGTAACTGGTCCGAAACGTCATAGAGTAGTTCGGGGAACCATTGATTGCTCCATTCTTCTTTGGTTTCCGTAACATAATGATAAAGTTAATGAAATGCACACAAAGAGCAGTAATTATGGAGTGGGACGGGGTGGTGATGGAGGAGAGCATAGATTAGCTCATAGGGTCTATGTCCCCCAGGGTACTGCCGGAACGTACCCTGGGTACGGTCCGGTATACCGGAACGTACCCTAGTCACTATTTGATATGGTTAGGGTTAGGGTTAGGGTTAGGGAGTAGGCGTAGGCGACTCCCTAGACTCGTTAGTGGAGTAGGCGAGGTACGGTCCGACATATTAGATAGTACCAGGGTACGTTCCGGTATACCGGACCGTACTCAGGGTACGCTCCGGCAGTACCCCGGGGGACATAGACCTTCTCAGCCATAGATTAGCTTGGTTATAGCATCGGGTAGATTCTGCATACGTCGACAAACATCAGTGTTTTGGGCGCTAGCATCACGCAATATCTAGTAGCTTCATAGTATCGGTAGTGTATAATATCAAGTGTTCATAATAGAAAATGTTCTATTATTGACTCTTGATAATATAGATCTATATGATCAAGAGCGTATAAAGAAGGAATTCTTCATACGCTCTTGATATTATACACTCCTGATGGTACATGGTGGCCCAGGTGGCTATCACTTCCCCAGCTATCATATGATTATCCCGGGTAGTACCTCAGAGTTAGTAGTCGTGTTACTAGCGTTTAGTGAGGAATTTAAAGGCCATTTGAGCCACCGTACTCGCAAGGTACGTATGTCGTCCGTCAGTCTCTCGCTCCTAGCTAGCAGCTGCAGCTGTTGCCATGAGACACACCCGCGAGCGGCGGCCGCTGATTGGCTGGGCCATGAGGCGTGTTCGCTCTCCCACTGCCGCTGCTAATAACGCGAACGGAGTAATAAGCAAGCAAGCAGACTTTTACAAATCCGCCGGCAGCCTGCGGGCGAGCGACCTTGGAATGTATATGTAGCTGCGCAGACGATCCACGAGGTGCGTGAGACTGGCTCTATTATTCGCTGGTAGTCCACGAGGCGGCAGTCCGGGAATTCTAGAACAAGTCTAAGCGATGTGCAAGGGTGTACAAGGGCACGCCCTTTTGAACGGCGTCTTGCGAGGTCCGTGTGTTTGGCTACGGCTAGCTCTAGTACTATAGCCCGCGTTCGATTAACTGCCGCAGGACAGTTAATCGACAATTAACCATTAACAATTAACAATTAACCTGCGGCAGTTAATCGAACGCGGGCTATAGTACTAGAGCTAGGCTACGGCCAGACGTAAGAATCTGTTACGGGGGGCACATGTCCAGCCGTGTCCAGACATGTGTCCGTGTGCGTGTGTGTACACAGCGTGTATTTAGACATAATGCAGTCGGTACAGCAACGCACGCACGCACGCACGCACGCACGCACGCACGCACGCGTTTATCGAGACGTACCCGCCACACGCCCTGTACGCTGTCAGATGACACACATTGCGTGCGTGCACCCTACACACGCGCGCCCACCGCGTTGCCTTTTACTTCACATGTAGCTGAATATTACTGCTACCTGCTTGTTGTTATCAACACCCGATGGAATGTACAGAGCAGCACCTCAAGAGTATATATGTATGTACGAGGCGTCGAACGTGATATTTGCATACGGGTTGGCAGTGCGTGCGCGTGGTTGCTGTATTACTGATCGCGATTGGTCGACACGTGTTTATGGAAAGCCATCCCCTTCAAAAATCATTTTCAAACATTTCAAATACACAATTTTAAATCATTTTTAATATTTCAAAATTAATAAAATACAAGATTACTTTATATTGTGCGATCGAGAATTTAAATTCAAATTTAATCAATTCACAAGCAATAACAAAATTCAATTATTAACTTGCAATATTAGTTACCACAACTTTCAAAATAATTGGCCTGATATACAAATTCCATTCAACATCATTGTAATAAAATTCTTATTCTAAGTTACAATTTCATTTTCAACACACAACCAATTTTAACTTGCCCAACTTAATTGAGAAACGATGATTACACAAACTCACAAATGTTCAAATCTTTGCTTCATAACCTCTAACATTGAATATGAGTAAGTTTTTAAATTAATTTAACCAAGAAAACGAATCAGTTCACTAAGTTTGGAATAAGTTATTACCTTTTAACTTAATCACCAGGAAAAATGCCGAATCTAACTGTGCGTTTCAGAAATTATTAGGATAAACAAACGACAAATGTCATAGCTTAAATTACAAATTCAATTTTTACAAGATGATGTGCAAGAATTGTGTTATCAGGCAATTATTTTGGAAAAGTTAGTGAATTAATTGCAAGTTAATAAATTGCATTTGTTTTCTGTGATTGATTTAAATTTTGAATTTAAATTCTCTCGAACAATATAAAGGTAATTTGTGATTTTTATAATTAATTTGAAATGTTTAAATTGAATTTAAAATTATGTGTATTTGAAATGTTGCAAAATGATTTTTGAAGGGGATGCGCTTGATCCATACGTCGTTGCTTGGTGTAAAACTGCAGCCAGATAGGCAGGCAGGTAGGCAAGCAGGCGGTCGGGCGGGCAAGCAGACATGCAGGAAAGCAGTCAGGCAGACAGATATACGATGGGTTTTAATGGCGCAGACACAGAAGCAGGCACGTGATTTTAGGTCAGATAGGCACATGGTTAACGATGTGTGGCAAGATTTTTCTAACGTTTCTAGGGCAGGGAGAATTGCCAATACTCAGTGCGTATGTGTGTGCGCGTTCTGTGTTAATGCCGAAAAAGCGAAAACTGAACTATAATTATGATGGTTTGCCATTAAAAATCTTCGCTAGCGAGTAAAGCTTGTTTTGCTATGAGCAGCTGCTCATATTAATATGTTTCTCGGCAAATTACATAATTATCTCTGTCGCCAGTCACGGAGGATGAGCTACAGTTTGATTACTTACATGATTAATTAATTGACGTAATTCACGATTAATTAATTTGAGTTGATGATTGGAATTTACAAGAAAGTGCACTGATTACACGCAGCTGTTCACACGCTGATTCGCGGCTCCAGAAATGCCGTATTTGCGAGCTGCGAGCTGCTTTAGTACAAGGAGCTACATATAAGATATAACCAGGATATAACCATATAATCCAGGATATAACCAGGATATAACCATATAATCCAGGATATAGCGTATATATGTAGCTCTTTGCTTAAAAAAATGCCTCCAAGCGAACAATGCGAAATAAACAACGCAATGCGCACCAACTGCCGATAAAATACGTAGACTGGTCCGCGCTCGACAGTTCCACTCGCTTTACACTGTCATAAAAGTACCAGTCTATAAAATATGCGGCTTCAGAAATTTCGTATTTAGCGTTCACACGAGAGAAATACGCGGTCCAAGAGATTCGGAATTTCTCAAGCACGGCAAATAATTCGACATCTGGGAAGCCGCGTATTTCAACAAATACCGAATCTACTTAGATTCCGTATTTATGGGACCGGGCATTTTGCCTCGTGTGAACGCTAAATACCGAATT